CTTTGGCGAATCGAGAATCCCTGCAGGAGCCCTGCTTCAGGGTCTTTGAGATGGTTATTTAGAAACCATGGGAAGTGTGTGGAAACCTTAATTAGAGGCACTTCAGAGGCTTTAAAAGGGAACTTTTATCATCTCCCCCTCTTTTACAAGGTAAATCTGAGGTTCTGAGAAGCAGATTAATTCACTCCACTTTACATTGTTGGGGAGAAAACGTACAAGTTCCAAAACTTAAACTCTCCCAAGAGAATATTCTTTCCTCTTCCGCTATGTTCCTTGTCTCCCTTGGGCCTCCTCACAGGCTTCTCGCCAAGCCCTCGGCTGTTACCCCTGGGACCCTGCCTGCGTTCCCACGCCCAGCCTCTGCCCCACCTGTCCCCAATGTGTGAAAGGCCAACAGTAACTTCCTTTAAGGTCCTTTAATGAAGTATAGGAAGAGCACTGAACTTGGGAGACCACAGTTCTGGTCCCACACTCACTGTGTGATCCTGAGTCTCTCAACCTGTGGGGCTGTTTTCTGATCCATAAAATGAAGAGATTGGACTTTATGATATTTGAGGTTTCTGCCGGCTCCACCATATCTGTAACGTCACCTGCTTTCTCTGGCCAAACTAGCGTTTCCTAGATGTGCAATACTTTCCCGCCCTAATCTCACACCCGTGCTCTCTTAGAAAGTATTTACAACTGTGGGCCACCTTCTGTACTGACAATCTATGTGGCAGGTGGTCTTAGGGAGGCTGAATCCTCTCTGCCCTGCTTGCATCTGCTTGCTGCCCCCATGAAAAGCAGTGTATGCTCAGGGAATAGAAGTGAATTTACTATTAGTATAAGTGACCCATATTCAGGATGTTTGTAAATTTGCTACCAGAACATAACACAGTGCATTCAAAGGTAATTAAAAATGCATTTTACATTCCCTGCTGTTTATAATTATCCGTGTATCTGCTGCCTACATTAGCAAAGTTAACAGAGAGCTAATACCTCAGACAATATTGATGCCAGAAGGAAACTTAGTGAACATCTAGTATGACGCTATTGGTGGTGGTGGTTTGAATAGATACTTCTGATGTATTTGCATGTGGTTCTGTCTTATCTTTCTTAGTGGGTGGCCTGAGGTTGAGGTACTTCAAATAATGTATCTATTTGCTCACATTGTATGGAAACATCCTTATTATTCCACTTGTCCTCCTTTCTCCTGCTTTTAATATAAAATATGTAGTGGGGTGAAAAATAAAGAGGTGAGAAAATCATAACAAAGGAAAAATAGTCATAGGATAATAAAATGAGTCAGAGATGCCTAACACTGCATGGTAGCTATAAGTGAGCCACATATTTGATTCCAAACTTCCCAGAAAGCAAAAAAGAGACAAACAGGCCATGCATGAAATAAAAATGTTCCAGAAAAAAAAGTAAACGTTTCCTGACATTTAAGAGGAAGTGAAATTATACCATGTGTCCTCATGAAGGAGCCACTAAGTCAGTGTTGTAGATCACACCCTCAACAATAGCCTGTCAATACCTACAATGCTAAATTCATTCATTCAGTCAATAGGCATTTATTTAGTGCCTACTATGTGCTAGGTATGTTTCTGATGCTGAGATTATCCTGTCATTGGCTAGTGGGAGCCAGTTGACACCTGTATCACTTTGACATGACTGTAATCTCTGATACCTTTTTATTTTCTCATATGAAAAGATGTGGCAGGTTCATATTATATATTTCCATCTCCATAAATTATCCATTTTACTAAAGAAAACTGATTCCTTTTAGTGAAAAGTGGTTTTAAAGACCACAATCTGGGCACTTGAAATGTTTAGTTACTGGGTTATAATTAGTTCCAAGCCTCAGTTAACAGACTGGAAAATATGAATGTTTTAGAAAAAAAATTCTGAGTTCATACTGATACTTCTCATTGAAATTAAACATTGAAATTTATTTATTTATTTGTTTGTTTATTTATTTATTTTATATGTGTATCTCTTTTCTCTTACTTTGAAAATCTTAGTTCCCAGTGACATAAATATAATTACTTATTTGCTTTATCTAATAGATACTTGTCTGTGTATGTGTATACGTGTGTATCCATCTATATAAAATAGGAGCAATACTCACTTAATGCAGTTTAAGATTTCTTTGCAGGTTATTTTTGTCCTTAGGATGTATAATCAAGTTAGTTACTTAAAATAATTCTTCTCCATGTGGTTATTCCATCAACTTGATATAGTTTGGTTGATTTATTTCAATTCATTTTTATTTTTTGAAGATGGACTTTCTCCTTTTTGATTTAATTTTTAATTAAAATATTTACATGGTTTCAGAGTCAAAACTATAAACATTGAGAGGCCTCCTTGTCCCCTGTTTCCTCCCCCTTCTTCCTTTCCTCCTTTAGAGACTTTGTGTTTGTGTGTGGGAGGGAGAAGGGGCTTTTGGAGGGGTGGATCTTTTTCTTTGTGCCTTAGATTCTTTATGTTGTGGTCAGATGCCTCACCACTACCCTCAGACACACTGCTCCCCACTCACTTTCCCAATTACTTCACACTGTTGAAATCATTCAGCTCTATCCTCTCAATTACTGAGCCATTCACTGTTTCACCAACTCCTCGTGTGTGGATCTCTGTGAGTGTGTGCAGACACTGGAGTTAAATGTCTGTCCCTGGGAGAGCCCAGTACTATGGTGTGTAAAGTCTCTACACTGGATATCCATGGACTGAAGGGGAGCCTGGAATTCAAAGTTCCATGTCAGTTTTCAAGGAGACCTTTGCAATGTACTCAGAAATTTAGCCCCCAGAGAGTTTATGTTCAGACCGACAACCCCATCGTATTCACAGAATCTTCCAAAGATAATTTGGATTTAAGATTGTCAGCCTTCTAGGACCCACAGTGTTGACCAGGATTTCTCAACCGTAGCATTATTGATATTTGGTGCCAGATAATTCTTTGTTCTTTGAACCATCTTGTGAATTGAAGGATGTTAAGGCCTCTACCTACTAGATGTCAGTAGCATCCTCCTGTCAGTTTTGACAACCACATTGGCCAATGTCCTCCTGGGGTGTAAAATCACTCCAGTTGAAAACTACTGGTATACATAGACTATTGTGTACCACACTCGAGAGAACACATAGTAATGAAGCTCTGGGAACTAAACATGAAAAAAACCACCAGGCCATTTGGTGTCTTCTTGGGAGAAGTCAGTCCAGAGTGTCTGCCCCATGTAGAGTGTATGCTGGGAGGACACTGATTTTGGAATGTAAACTCCCGGATTCAAGTCCTGCCTCTACAGATTTGGAGCAAGGTTCTCCACTTCTCTGCTCTTAAGTTTTCTTATTTGAAAATGAGGGATTGGTGTAGTTTACTTCACATGACACTGTTGTAGTGGGAACAAAATGAGGTTCTATACCCCCCCACACACACACTGATGTATACTCTAATCTGATTTAAGGATACACAAACATGGACTTGAGAATAGTTCAAATATAAGCATACTTATTTGCCAGTATGATTAAGAGGGAAATGTAGGGAAAATACACCTTCCAATCCATCATGTCTTATAGGCCTCCCAGTGGCTTACAATATTGCTCTTAGGATGGAAGGCACAATAGGAGATGTCTAACTTTAAATAGAGGGAAAAGAATAAAAAAGGTCTTTTCAGCAATTTCAACTAGATTATGATGCAAATAGTCATGTTTTTATGTTTACTTATTAATTTTGCATTCAGTAATCTGACTAGGCTGCACAAGAATGTAAATGTCTTGACAGGAGATAGTGGCTGGTAGTTCTCTTGGGGTTTCATTATAATGAACCTGGTAAATAATTCAGGACCATCTGAGAGGCCAGTAAATGGGCAGCACCTGGTGCTGTATTGTCCACGCCTAAGCACGCAGAATCCAAAGATGGCATTCTACACCTGTCACTATTGTTCTGCTGAAATAATAATTGACACTTTTCCTCTTCCAATTTTTCTTCACAGTAAGAGAAAGCTGTGTTAAGCTGTTTCAAAAACACAAAGCAGAAGTGGTATCCTCTTATAAATTTCCACTGGTAAAATTTCAAATCTGTTTTCGGTATTAAGGGATAGATTCCTTTAAAGAATTAGGCACCTGTCTACCTTTTCTTCCGGGGCTAATTTGAGCCTTTCTGCATTTCTACTTTTGTTCTACAAGGTGGAGCTCCTCTTTATCCCAGTATTCATATTGTGAGCATCTTCTGAGAGAAATAACGCCATCCTCTATCTAGTTGCTCACTCTGTGGGCATTCCTAGAGTCCTCAGTTTCTCTTCCGTAACCCGGGTAGCCTAGCCCACTTCTAGCTGTCTAACAGTTTAAAAACAAACAAAAAACTATTGGCAACGGGCTTACGTATTCTCCTGTGACCTCAGCTGAGTGGACATAGAAAGTCCTCCACTCCCTGAGAGAGCAGGAGGCAGACAGTGCCTGCAGGCCGCCTCCCAGGGTCAGGCAGAGCTTAAGCCATGAGTTGCATGGAAGGATCTTGGAAGGGCAGGGGATTTCCCAGTAGGGAAAAAAGGAAAAATGCCTCACCTGTCTGAACTACAGTTTTTATAGAGCTGGGCCATAAAAAGGATCTGAAGAGAGTCTGTAGGGCTTTGTTTCTGCAAAGCTTTATATCTGATTGTCAGAGGTGCTTTGTCTTTTGTTTTTAAATTACTGCTTATTAAAGAGGTTTAGAATTTATTTAAGTATATATTCTATTTTAGACCTTTGTTATATATAAGAAAGTATATAACTATATAATAAAAACATAACTGTATGATTAAAATATAAAATATTTTAAACCTCTAATAAACCATTTACACATACATATACGTATAATTTGTTTGTTAACAGGTTTAATTGCTTTCCTTTCCTTGGAGACCTGGTGAGAGTACTTGGAGCAGTGACTGCCACCTGGTGGTAGCCAGAATCATCACGTCGTGGTTCCTGAGGTGCCCGCTCCTGACTGACATGGTACGCTGCACCAGGCCACCAGGAGAGCCTGGAGGTGGTTGATGAAGGAGCTTGGTGAAATAACCCTTCGCTTCCACCTGAATGGGTTGTTCATCACAGATTTTGAGCTAGGGGCCAGCTCTAAAATGGTGCCTCTGAAGAAAAGATTTGAGATGCTGTTATGTTTTCATCAAAGATCTGCTGGTTCCCTACCAGCGGGTAACCAAGACTGAATACGTGCACACGAAGAGGGGCATGTGATGACATGGAGCCTGAAATAAACTGCTCTGACTTGTGTGACAGTTTGCCTGGCCAGGAGCTGGATCGGAGACCCATTCATGAACTCTGCAAGACGACTATTGTAAGTAAGCAGCCATGGGGTGTCAGGGCTGCTCAGAAATACATGTTGTTTGGTGGGGGGAGGCGTGCAGGAGGAAGTGTTCGTGAAGGACACATATTTCCAGGCTTTGGTGATGACCGGGCAGTTCACGTTTGAGCTATAGAAGACCTTCGTCCCTAACAGCTTCTCTTTATTCTGTTTTCAGACCTCTTCCCACCAGAGCAGTAAGACCATTTCTTCATTATCTCCTGCCCTCTTGGGTATAGTTTGGACTTTTCTCAGCTGTGGACTTCTTCTGATAGTCTTCTTTCTTGGCTTCACAATTCGCTGCAGAAAGAACAGGTAAGAGCCCCACGCCTAGTTTCTCATCTCCCATAGCCTGCGTCATGAAACCCAGAGTGTTAGTACCATTTTGGCACGCTAAGCTGCCAGCTGGTATCAGTAGATCTTGGCTCCTACTGTGGCATTAAGCTGTGTGAGAAGTTCCCCCCCCAAATGGTCCAGGCTTTGCCGTAGAATTCCCTCTTGAGAAGGAGAAAGATCTAGCTCAATGTTGTGCCACCTACGATAAAGATGCCCCGCCCCCCCAAAGAACATGAAGATTCTCTCCACATAAAGGATACAACCCTTCTAAGAAGATGTATTTATATTAAAAACAGAGAGCATGTAGAGAAATCTTCCAAAGCAACACTAAAACTCATGGCAGCACAATTGGAACCAATCTGGGTGAGCTAAGGTTTTTGCAAAAATAGTGAAGGCCTACTACCTGGCTGTTCTGCTAGACAGTTCTGACTGGTTGGAAGATCACTGGCTCATCGGGGTAAGTCTCTGTGGCTCCCAGGGCTGGCAAAAGAAGCAAATGATGACCTTCTTCTGAAGGGACTTGCAGAATCTTGCCTTCCCTGCTATTCGATCCTTCCCTCAGGGACCATTCCATCTCTTCCACTCCAGCACTCCTTACCCTCATCCTTCCCCAGCCGTCCCATGCGGCCTCCAGCCCCCTCTCCCAGCCCCACAGCTGCCTTTTTCCTGGGTGGAGCCCACATCAGATTTCAACAGCTCCCTCAGAGAAGCAAAACTTGCCTGGCCCCACCCCAGCCTTATGCTTAGTGGTGATCGAGTGTATTGTGCTCCATTGCCTTGTTTTGGCACTCAGATAAGGATCAGTCAGTTGAATTTGCCTAGCAGGCATTTTGGGGGTGCCATTGGCCATTTGAGGCATGGAGGACATAGAATTGTTAAGTAGCAGTGGTTTGATCTACTGGGTCAACCTCAACATGGCAGCGATATGTGGCACTCTGTCCTGAGTATACCCCTAATACTGTTCCAGCCACTTTCATTCTGTTCCTCAAGTACACGAAACTTACTCCCATCTCAAGGCCTTTGACTTACTGCTCCCTACTCTTCCCACAGTCTTCTCCAGATCTTTCCATGACTAGTTACTTCTCATCCCACAGGTCCTGGCTCAAATGTCGCCTCTTCAGAGAAGCCTTCTCTGATCATCTTACCTAAAGTAACCTCTTTACCCAATGACCACCCAGCCCCCACATCTCATTCCATATCCCATCACTGTTTTATTTTCTGATATTACCATATTTATTGATTTACCTTTTTATTGTCTGTATCCTTTAGCAGAATATAAACACTATGAACACAGAGGCCTTGTCTGTTGTCCTCACTACTGTCTCCAACATTTAGAACAGACTCTGGAATATAATAGGTGCTTAGTAAATATGTTTTCAGTGATCCTGGGAGGAAGGAGATTTTAATTCCAGTGGAGGCTGCTGCCAAGAAAATGACTAGGAAAACCACACATTTCAAGGCTAGAGAGCTATGAAGTAGTCTATTTAGCTATAACACATTTCTATAATGCAAATTAATACCTGATTGGTAAATAAGAGAATAATATTATTGGTTCATATGTAACTTTTTCCCCAGAAAATCAATGGTTTAAAGAATTAAGAGGCAAGCTTTCTTGCAGTTAAAGAAGGAAGCATTAAGCTAAGAATGCTAGGGCACTTCCTTCCCTTACAACAAATAGCAGCTGGTTTAATGGCTTCAAGAACTGGTGTCCTTTGTACATGAAGCTCTCTGGTGAAGCTGTAGGAATAGATGAAAAAACAGAACAGACATTTCCCTTGTGTTTAAAAAGAATTGATTGTTGAAGAAAGCTCAGATCCAGAGCAGATTTTGATGATAATGTTATTTATGGGAGGCACGTACCCTTGAGGACCTACATCTTGCAGATTTAAGGCTGCAGAAATCAACTAAGATCCTGGGTACAAATGATAGTGGAAATTTACTGAGTGCTAGTTCTTTAATAGGGATAATTATTATTTTTATTAGTGTTCCGGTTACAAAGTTAAATGTGTTTCAAGTGTTATGGCCCCACACTATTTTTCCCAAAACACATTATTTTTATACATGATTTTGTAGAATGCAAGGCTTTTAAATCATTTATATATCCTGTTAAAACAGGAGCACTTGTAAACAGTGTTGTAGTAAAGCAACTATATTTGCTGCCTGTTTTGCTTGCAGTGGGAGCATGACTAGGCATGAAGAATAAAACAGTAAGAGTCACTCTAAATAAAAACACATTTTGTCATTAAGCAGCTTACAAGGTCAGATAAAGAAAGATAAGATAGCCCAGTTTCAAAAGTGCTTTCTTAAATAATAAAATTTGTTCACAGGTGCACCATCACAATTAGATGCTTCATTTCATTACAGTTCTGTGGTCTCTAAATTTGTGATTGTGTGTGTGTATGCACACGCACACACACATGCCCGCGCACGTGGCAGAGAAAAGGAAAATATTGTAATAAAATAAAATAGTAATGTTCGAGTTCAGTCGCAGATATTGCATTCTTGATAAAATTTTTAAATGTAACCACAATAAAGAGAAATATTAAAAAAAGAAAAAGAAGAGAAATTTAAATGTAGTCTGCAAGAGAAAATCAGTAAAGGGCTAAATGGAGAAAATGAATGTGTCCCCCATCCAGGGGTTAATGGGGCTCTTTTATACAATGTTTGGAGAAGAAAACTGTAAATTGTTTTGAAAGAATTTATATTGGCTATAGATAACCGGGAGCAGAAAAAGTTAGGAGGGAGTAGCTCTGAGATGGGTGAATAGTCCGTAAGGAAAGAGTACTTGATGCTTTGGGGTTGGATGTGGGCAGCAGCCGGGAAAGTTCATGCATAAGCTGCATGTGGCAGCGCCTGATGGTCTCCTCTTTCTAGATAATCACTGAGATAGCTTCCTGGATGCTGATTCAAAGTTTCAATATACATTCAGGAATGGGAGCAGCCTTTTGTTGCTTTCAGACCCATGGCTGTTAACTGATTAACCTCTCTTGTCTCTTCCTCTCATCCTCCAGTCTGCTGTAACTTAATTTGGGGCATCTCAGAATTTTTCTCTTGGCAGAGATATACACCAAATGGCTTAGAATGTTAAAGATAATGTTAAAATAAAGATGTAAAGCTATGCAACTCTCATCTACTCACAGTGAGAGTGCACACTGGTACAACCACTTTGAAAAATAATTTGGCATGTCTTCTAAAATAACACATATACCTTGTGAGGCAGCAAATCCACTTCTAAGTTATACCCAGGAGAAGTGTATGCACATTTACACCAAGAGTTGTAGAAAGAATAATCACAGTAGCATTATTTGTAATCATCTCAAATGCCCTCCAGCAGTAGAAGGAATAAGTAAATCATGGTGTAGTCTTACAATGGAATACTATACAGCAATGAAAACAAGCAAGTTACAGTTACATCCAGAAACAGGGAAGGATCTCACAAAAGTCAAATTAAAAAGACAGCCACTAAAGAACATGTACTATATGATTTCCCTTATATAAAGTTCAAAACCAGGCATAACTAAAGTATTGTGTTAAAAGTCAAGAGAGTGGTTTACCTTTAGAGAGGAAGGAAAAAAGGGTAATAATTATGAGTGGAGATTCTGAGGGGCTGTAATGTTTCCTTTCTTGACTCAGATGATAGTTATGTCGATACCTTCTTTGTGATAATTCATTGAGCTAAATATTTATATTTGTGCACTAAAGAATACCTTCCCTAGCCAAGGTTATTTTTTTAAAAAGTCAACCTGTCAGGGATCTACAATTATAGGGGTCATGGAAAGGAAATGGCAGTGTCTTCAGTGGACTGTTGAACATGAAGACAGCGTCAACTTCCAAATACCTCCTTTACGTAATATCAAATGTCCACATGTGTTCAACTGTTTTACCCCAATAGGCTTTCTTACTTTGATCAAATTACTGCATCAAGATTTATTCTTAAATTTCCTGTTCCCTTTGCTTTCATAAATGTAGCTGAGCATCAGAATTTTACTTAATTTGGATGCTAACCGCATTAGACAGTAACCTGACATTAACCAGTTTTTGATCCCATTGTACGCCTTCTTTCATCTCCATCCCACTAAAGAGCTTGCTTTTGGGGAGGTAGATGTCAGATAGTAAACATTTCTCAGGCATTTTGAATTTTGCCATTATCAGTGGTGAAAGATACCATCCTCTGTGTGTGTGTGTGTGTGTGTGTGTGTGTCTGTGTTTGTGTGTGTGTGTGCTGAGAGGCCATGGTGATCAGGATGCTAATCTATGCACAGTGACCTTTGTTTCTATCTGACCGAGCAGATGTAGGAATTAATCATTGTCATTCCTGGATGCTGTGGCTGCAGCTGTCTCCCACTGCCTTTTTGCCCCTGATAGATTTATTTGTGCATTTGGTTTGCTGAAAAACATGCCTCGGCACAGAAAAACTGGCAAATTAGAGAAGCTTATCTGTGAATATCATTTTGTAGAAACGTATTTTTTTCTGCACATCTGTACTTATATGTTCTGAACTCTTTAAAAGGAGAAGAAAAAGAGAAAAGGAAAACAAGCTGGTAATATTGCTTATGTAACATCTAAATCATTATTTCCCATCCTGAGAAATTGCACATTGGACCAGTGAGTATCCTGGGTTGCAAAGAGCTTTCTTCTAAACTCTATACCCTTCTTCTTTTTGTAACCTCTACCCCTCCCCCAAACTCCCGATTATCAGTTTAGCCCCACTCCCAGAATCTGGGCATACTTTGGTTCTAGGCACAAGAAAATAAGTGTTCTAAACTAAAACTAAGTTAATTTTATAGCAGACCTCACCACAACCTTCAGATCATAACTAACACTTTCTGAAACCCAAGCATCCCCATTTCATAGATATCCCTGCAGCCTCAGCAAATCCAGCCCCTGGTGACAGTGATACCAGCCTGGATGGAAATCAAAGCCACACCCCTTAGGATGTTGGGAGTCAGCTCCAAAATCCAGTATAAATTTCCTGGGCC